GGTGTCATAGCTGCACCATGTTTTTGCGCAAGCGTCATGAATACCCAATACTTCGGAATATTGTAACAAAAGAATGAGAAATTTGATATCTACTTTACATGCCGTCACAACACATTCCCAGCTTAGTAATACAATCTGACAAGGGTTTATTTACTCATTCATAAAGATCCCAATATGGTGTGTCAAATTCATGTCCGTCTTACTGAATATAGCGCGGATAGTTCCTGCAGGTTTTGCTCGCCAGAAGGCTAAAAGCAGCACAAGGTGGTAATAGTGTATCAGCTGTGGCCGATCTCGTGTGCAAAACTTGTACCCGAAATTTAGAGCAATAGTTTTTAAAAGGGTCACTTTCCATATTAGAAAACTTACCAATCTTGAAACCCGGCAATTAGCGAGAAATTGGAATTTATATATTGCGAAAACGCCCATACATTTCGATCGATAAATTAAGAGTATAGAAAAAATTGAATGTCCAATACCTCCGGTGTTTCTCATCGTAACATTTTGAGAATCGCACAAATTAGAAGTCTTGACATGCTATTTTATCATGGCTATTTTTAATTAGACTAAACGAGTTCAAATGAGGTCACGAGAGGTTAAAAGATCATGAAAATTGGGATTCAGATGAACATGAGCGACCAACAACAACCCCTTCCCTATGGATACAAAAGTGGCAATCTGTGCTGGATACAAGTAGATACTACCCAATAAATTGTAATCGAAGCAAAAATGTCGATGTAATGCATTTTACTGTCAGAATGCAAACATAAATAAATAGAACAGATAAATAATTGGATTTTTTCAGTTATGAAACTTTGAAACGAACGGTTCCATCTCGGAATGTAAAAATTGCATTTCAACTCCTTTCTGCATGGGCAAAGCAAAAAAGCGAACAACTTAAGTTTGTGTAACTTAAAATCAAAACAGTGCGTTTATCACAAAATCAACCTGCACCGAATGTGTTCTGACATTCGTGATTACCACTCGAGATGCTACTATGACAAGGATGGCGAACCACTGACCCGCGGGTCACAAAGTGACCCACTGCGTTTTATTCGTGACCCGCCAACCCAGATAGCACAGCTACGTCGGCACAACCATGGCCGAACGTTGTTCGAACCACCGGCCCAACATCCATGGTCCAGCAAAGAATTGACCGCTGGCCCAACGTCGGTCCTCGCGTTGTAATAGAGCCATGGCATATGGCCGGGGGAACGTAGGCTCTGCTTTGTAATACAACCGTGACATATGGTCGAGCCAAGGTAGGCGATATGTTGTTATCACGGCATTCGGTCTTTGTCATTACCACACAACTGATGCCCCAAAATAGTCCTACCTGGTAACATAATTTAATAAAAAACCATAACATATGAATGGATTTTTATTTCTCAAATATATATTTGTTATATAAAGTTTAAAGCCGACTCTCTGGGACCAAGAGTAACCTGAGAGACGTTAGGGACACCATCTCATGCGACATACGCTCTGCCCATATGCATTCTAATAGCATGATTGGAAGGAGGAAGAGTTTCCATCGATTCTTGCTTTGAATGATGATATTTGGAGCTTGTCCACTGTTTCCAAGCTGGCTCCTTATTTCTTCGGAATTTTTTAGATAGGCTTCTGCCTTGTCAGCACGTGAAAGTCTCTAAAATATATATATATATATATATATATATATATATATATGTCTCTTGATCAGCGAACATACTGGCTGCATGTTTTGTCCCAATCTTGCTGGTATCATCGCAGCCGGTTATAAATGCATGAATAGCAGGAAGGATATCATACATACCAGGTCCAATTTTCTCTGGCAAGAATGTGCACGGAATAAACCTTGTAGAACTGCCAATACCAGTTTTATTCCAAAGTTGATTGAGGCCGTCTCTCATTTCGCTCTTCCCGGTAGTAGAAAAACAAGATGGAGACGTCCGAACGGATGATAAAACAACAATCTGTTTTGTTCTTCGATTAGCGGCGTGCTTTGCACGTGGTATGTATCTCACATGTCAGTTTCTTCCACTGTGGTCGGATAACGGCACTGTGGCATCAGACGCCGTTGACCAACAAGCAATGAAAATGCCGTCAGCAAGTCCGTAGAAATGGCTCACAATGAAGCTGGAAACGAATTCTTTCAAAGGGCACCTTTCTTTGTCAATCAGACATTCAAGCATTTCTACGGGTGCCACAGTCGCTCCTCTTTGACGCTCAGAATCAACGATCTTTTCTTGTACGAGTCAAATTCAAAGTCAATCGTTTTAGCACCCTTCGTTGAGGAGGCGATAAAACTCAAAATGCATTTGAAAAATGCTCAAATCTTTTGGAATTCTTAGTTGGAAGTTTGCGAATATTTGTCATAACGTCGAAGATGTAGAGGAGACTTTGTACATAAATCACATTGAAGTAGCCTGTTCATAATAAAACCTCTCTTTTGGGCGATTTGCAAACGATCGTCTCATGTGGGCATCTTCTTTCTAAATTTGCTGCCTTGCCCTCAATTTCTGCCCTCATTCGCTATTTGATTAAGGTTATAGAATTACTGCATTAGTATAAGTTCACACAAGTCTGTTTATAAATTTGACTTGGATTATGGAAGAGAAGGATAATGTTTTCGACGAAAGCTTCCTGTATGAAAATGAAACAGTGGCCAAAACACCAACAGGCTACAGTAGGTTTTCAACTTCTGGCAAGGATCCTTCGCTCTCCACAACATCTGAGCTCGATTCATCTCTGAACCTGCAACAGCTCCAACTGCCCCTATTTAACCTCAATGACATACTTCAATCCAGGGAAGACCATCTAATAACAAGAATGCTCAGCTCTATAGAAGCTGCAGTGGATAAAAAACTTGGGGAACTTCTACCTTCATATCTGGACAAGCAAACCCAAAAAATAGAAAACATGTGCAACAAGCATGAGGCGATCCTAAACAATCTAGCTCAGACACAAGAACAACTTTCTGCTAGAATTGGGGTTGTAGAAAAAAGCAATTATGCCATGAACCAATCTCTAAATGATATAAAAACAACCCAATCTAATTTCAGTAAAAGAAGAACTGAAGATAAGGATAAAGTCATGGAACTTGAGGCACTAGTGTCAAAACAAGTAGCTGCAATAGCAAAGTTACAGCAGAGTCTTTCTTTTATTGAAGAAAAACTTGAAACTGTAGCTGAAGGCCAAGAACATTTTGAACAATATGGTAGGCGCCAAAATCTTGAAATCACTGGACTACCATTTGAAAAGAATGAAAACACAAATCAAAAAGTGATAGAGGTAGCAAAATTGCTTAATGTCAAACTCAGCCAGGAGGATATTTCTACTTCACACAGACTAGCTGCTGGTGAAAAATCTCCAGTGATTGTACAATTCTGCAGCCGAGAAAAAAGAAACGAAATATTTCGAAAAAAGGCTAACCTCATCAAAGAAAACGGAGGTAAAAAGATTTTTATTAATGAAAGCTTAACTGAATGGCAAAGGTTTCTTTTCAACGAGGCTCGCTTGCTAAAAGATAAATTCAAGTATAAATATATATGGACACACTCGGGCAATGTATATGTGCGTAAAAATGAGTCAGCTAACAGTCTAAAAATTTTAAGTGAGGATGATTTGGATAGAATCCGATGAATCTTTTGTACGATAACTTTGCTTATTATTATGAGGTCATGTGTAATTTTCTTCTACTAATGTAACTATGTCAATTGTTAAAAAATGTAAAGTTTGCCATACTTATGTCACAGATAAAACTAGTTATATTTCTTGCAATATATGCCATGAATGGGTTCACTTTACATGCTCTAAGCTAAGTCATGAGCAGCTAAGTTTGTTGGGAAACTTAAGCACACCCTACTTTTGCAGTTTATGTCTAATTAATAATTTACCAGTAATGGCTGATATGGAGGACCAATGCTGCCCTACCACAAGTATACCAAAACAAACCTGTTTGAATGATGTACATGATTGGGATATTGGAAGCGAGTATATTGACCCGAATAATGTTGTGGAAAAATTAAAGACAAAAAGCCAACCTAGTTTGACTATCCTCCATCTTAATGTCAGGAGTTTGCACAGAAATAGTATACAAATTGAATACCTAATAGGCCCAGGTAATAACAGCTTGCCTGATGTAATAGGTGTTTCTGAAACCAAACTGGGAGAGGCTTCTCCAGATGTTCCCATTAGGGGTTATGATTTTATTCGCAAGGATTCCTGTACTGAAGCAGGAGGTGTGGGCTTATATATTCTTGAATCTATTAAATATCATGTGCGAGATGACCTTAGCTTAAACTCAATTGAATGTGAGGTCTTATGGATCGAAATTGATCAATTTGGACCATTTTGTAATGTTATTGCTGTTATATATAGACATCCATCATATAAATATGATGATTTTTTAAATAAATTTGTACAGTCCTTAAGTTTAATTAGCTCTAGGGGGAATTGTGTATATATTGTTGGTGACTTTAACATTGATCTGATAAAATATCAGGTTGACAATAATGTGACTAAGTATGTGGATACCATTCACTCCTGTGGTTTTATATGTGGTATTAACAAACCAACAAGGGTCACTAGTTCATCGGCCACTTTAATAGATCATTTTTATTTTAATAGAATGGAATATAAAACAACTACTAGTATAATTAAATATGATATTTCTGATCATTTCCCTCTTTTGGCTCATATACATCTAGCATGCCAGAGGTCCCAGATTAAAATAAGGAGACGCGACTTTAGTAATTTTAACTCTGAACACTTTATTGATCATTTGAGTTCTGTAGTAGAAAGTGATGTTGATAAAACATCCTACGATATAAACAAAAAATTTGATTCTCTTATTAATGTGATCAAATCTGTTGATAATCATGCTCCATATAAGACTGACTTGGATTTCCATGGATCTTTATAAGTCCATCAGAACCAAAAATAAGATGTATAGTAGATGCTGCATTAGCAAATGTCAAGTAAAAATAAAAGAATACAAGAAGTATAGAAATGCGTTATGTAGGACTCTCACAAGAGCCAAACAAGAATATTATAAAAACATATTTTCTCAACACCAAAAAGATATTGCAAAAACATGGACCGAAATTCGCAAAATAATTGGTAATTATTCCAAGGTTAACAAACTACCACCTTATATTATAAGTGATGGTAAGAGAATTTCTGATGGTACTGGCATTTGTGCTGCCCTGAATCATCATTTCCTAAGAGTTGGTCCAATGCTTGCGTCAAAAATAAGTCCAGCTGTGAACAGCCACATGCATACTCTTGGACCAAGCATCAGTGAATCCTTTTTTCTTCGTGATACCACACCACTGGAAATTGAAAAACAAATAGATAAATTAGATAGTAATAAAGCTGTAGGTAGTGATGATATACCAGTGAAAATGTTCAAAATCGCCAAGCTTGTTTTATCGCCAATTTTATCCTCTCTTTTTAATCAAAGTTTTACAGATCATGTGTATCCAGATATACTGAAAATAGCTAAGGTGATCCCGCTCCATAAGAAAGGGTCTAAGCATGATCCGAATAATTATAGGCCTATCTCCCTGCTATCACAAATTGCCAAGATTTATGAAAAAATTTTATATCATCGTCTCAAATATTATTTCGATAAACATGGAACTTTGAGCCTTCCCCAGTTTGGTTTCCGAAACAACTAGTCAACTGAGCTAGCCATAGCACGGCTCAAAGAAATGATAATAGAAAATAAGGCCAATAACAAGATCACATGTGCCATCTTTTTGGATCTTGCGAAAGCTTTTGATACTGTTAACCACCAAATTTTACTAGATAAGTTATATCATTATGGCATTAGAGGAAAGGCATATCATCTTATTGCATCATATTTAAGTGGCCGCAAACAATATGTTCAATATGGGTATTGTATCTCTGAAATGGGCCTTATTGAATGTGGGGTCCCCCAGGGTTCCACGATTGGCCCGCTGTTATTTCTATGCTACATAAACGATCTACCTTTGGCATCTACTTTTCATTCGACATTATTTGCCGATGATACTTCTCTGATAAAGTCAGCATCCTGTGGTTTAGAACTCCAAACTGTGGTGAATCATGAACTCCAGAAGGTCGATAATTAGCTTAAAGCGAACAAATTATCCCTAAATTATTCTAAAACAAAATTTATGTTGTTTTGTGATAAAAAGCATGGTATTTCCACATTTAGAGTTGGCATTGGCAGCAACATTATAGAACAAACAAAATCCATTAAATATTTGGGAATTACAATTGATGACGAACTGAGTTGGAAGCCACATATTGCCGAGTTATCCAAGAAATTATCGCAAACTCTTGGAATATTTTACAGGTTAAGGCATATTTTGAAATCTAAAACACTCAAATTAGTATATTTTAGTCTATTTCACTCACGTCTGCAATATGGTCTGCTAAGTTGGGGCTCAGCATCAAGGTCTTCCTTACAGCCAGTTCATGTTTTGCAAAATAAAGTTTTACGATGTATGGCATTTGCAGAGAAAGTTCGTGTAACTAATTTGCAGCTCTACTACCAGTATGAATTCCTACCTACAGCTGTCTGATATACATACGCTAGAAATAGCAAAGTTCATGCATCGGTATGAAAATGACCTTGTCCCTCCTGTTTTTAAACATTATTTCACCCCATTAAAAAAAGTGCACAATTACTGCACCAGGTCTCAAAGAAACAAGATTTTCTTTACTCCACAAGTGTCCACTGAGGTGGACAAAACATCTTTGAAGTATATGGGTGTACAGGTCTGGGGCGATGTTCCACCTGAAACTAAAAACAGTTCTGTGCATGTTTTCAGTAAGAAACTGAAAAAATATTTCCTACTGAAATATTCTAACTTGTCCTAATATCTGTAGTTTAATTAATTAATATGTGTTGAAAACTGCATTATATAAATTACTACATTACTATAAATTTAACTGTTTCATATAAACACTGCACACTGAGGGTCATAGCCCTTTTTTCCAACTCATGTATGTATATAGGTAATAAAATTGCTGTCCTCTTTTCTTTCATTGGCATCAATTTGATGATTTCTATGTTCGACTTTAAAAGCCATTATTATTGATATTTCTATCTTTTGAATTATTGCTAAACATGTCATAATATGATTGGCTCATTGTTATTTTCATTTCTCCATGTAATTGAGTATAAAATCTTGCTCCCTTGATCCATATAGTACTGCCTAATATACTGTAATTACCTTTTTTATGTCATTGAAAGTTATTGTGGTATTACTGATGAACTGCATAGTTATTGCATATTTAATTGTGGATCATATATTAATATTCTAGTTCCAAGTATGCATAAATACTTATAAATGATAGTAGCCCATTTGTTAATTAATTTAATAATCTTTATATATTGTGAAAAAGTGATTAACTGCAATAATAATTGCATATTTAATTGTTCATATTCAACTGTGGATCATATATTAACTACTATTCTATTTCAAAAGTATGTATTAATACTTAAGAATGTTGGCAGCCACTTTTAATTCAATAACCTTTTTATATCGTGAACTAATTAAGGTGTCAAACGAGAGTATCGGTCGGAGACCAAAAGACTTATCGATCAAAACTGCGGTTTCGATTCATGACTCTATAGTGACACCGTGTGTCCAAACACCAATAAATTAATAGCTCCCTAATTATACGACATAACTCTACCAAAATCAATAGCCATCTGGTCCGTGAAATGATGAACGCACATGCAAAATTGGATTGGGTGGAGATTAAACCCCGCTTTCTTGAGATATCGCTTGCATCTAACAGACAGACAAACAGACAAAGATCGATAAACAAGATCGACAAGTAATGATATTTTTTACATCATGCACTCGGTCTATTACTGAATCTGTGATAATATTATTTTTTTCGTCCTTGGTATTCATTTTTGATTCCGGTCTGTGTCCAATAACAAAAAATATGCTTTTCGTGAAAATTTTTCCATTGGACATGTCCGGCTTCAACCAACACATGACCTCTCTAAATTGCCCTTAGTAACTTCCATAATACCATTAAATTGCCGACTCGTTTCCTTTTTTCCTCGTATTTATTTTTTAAATATTTATATTTAATCTCATTTGTATACACCTATGATGAACTTATATATAGCACATACACAAGGGTCGGGAGCCTAGATGACTTTAATCGGACTTGCACACCGACCCGCACAAAGCAATAATCAATTACTGTGGAATATTTTCGTTATTGTATTATGTTTATATTAGTGTTGATTTTGTTTTTGTGGCAATAAATTTCTCTCTCTCTCTGTACATCTTTCTCGAAGTAAATGTTTTTAGGTTAGTACGATGAAAGTCGAACTGGTGGATCGAAGACTGTTAAGAACGTTCTTATATTTAGCTATCCTTCCGTCTTGTTCGGAAAATGCTTTGCACCCCAGCCCTGAAACACTTCCTTCAACATCTGCATCCCTTTCAACGATTGGACATAAATTAAAATCCTTTGAAGTTGAGATTTCATCGTGTATGCTTTGTAGCACGAGTTACTCAGATGATACAAAAATTTACTGTGACAGACAACTTTCAGTCGCTTTCTTTCAACGTCATCCTTACATACCGTGGCAGATTATACATTTTGAATCATCTACAATCTACATACTACTAGAACGGTCTGGTCAACATCTCCTGCCGACACATGCACGGGGTACCACGGGGCCATGTTTTCCCTAACTACGGTCGGAAAACAATTGCATGAAAATTTGCATATCACACATTTAAATGTTATTGCGTTGGGCTTGGGTAAGAAAAACGATCATAAACAATAAAAGTCAGTTTTCGCTACTTACTCTAGCTGTGTCTAGCATAGAAATGTACCAGATATATTTAACATCCGCGAACTATACATAAACGCAGGGAATCTCTACTGGTCGTAGCCCAAGCCTACAACGGTCAGCTAACAAGAGCACAACAGTAGGTGTGTGGCATGTTGGTTGTCGCCTTTTGTTCTTTTTAACCAAATAATATGAGAGTGACGGAAGGAGGTAAAAGACATTTCATCCATACATAGCACTTGTTAAATATAATACAGATGATATATACCTTGATCTGATACCTGGCTTGACAATCTCTTTTAATTTTAGGTTGCAAGTTCGGTTTCGCCTACCCTCCGATCAGTTCTATTTATCATCATGCTCGTCAACAAGTTTTAACCAATGTATACTGCCCAGTGCCCAACGGGCAACCAAACTTTAGCCTATAGGGAGACGAATACTTTCAACATTCATTCATGTGAACATAGTAGTTGTGGTGGCATTCCGCAAGCGACCCATGGCACTGAAAGTCAATCCCATTATAATAAACTGACCACGATTTTGCGCCACTCGGTGAAACTCGGGCGACGTGCATTAAAAACTTATATTTGAATATGCCATGCACGCGAAAGAGCAAGAACTTGGCAGTTAGAAAACTGAATTAAACACATCGTTAAGCCTAGTAATTAATCTTTCACTTACCGCGCGTTGAGTGATATATCGAAATGTCTTTTGCTAGCATAAGTCAGCACTAGTATGTTAGAACACTCATATAATAAAGAACCGAACATTCAATCAGTGTTCATAGGCATAAAATTAAAATAAAAGATTAAAATGAATAAAAAATTGGCAATATAAAATATCTAAAAATAACAAAAACTTTATATTTCGAAATGCATAAACATAAATAAGTGCATACAGAGCTGAATATTCATGATTCATTTCCTCTTAATTAGTGGTCAGATTATCCTGATATCCAGAACAGTCAATAAGTATCACTATTAAGAAAATTCTATTGAAAACTAGCCAAAACATCCAATACTTTGGTCAAGAGTGAATCTGTAATTGCACAAATCCATTATCATGAATTCCAGAGAAAAAGAAAAAATTTGGCGGTCCAGAAGTATGTGTACCAATATGGAGGTAACTAATTTTGTTCGCTTACTTTACATCACGAACTCGTAATAGAATCAAAATAAGGAAAATCAGAATAAAATTATGGCCTGCCCTAACCTGGTACACATACTGCGGGAGTAACAAAAATTGAACATGAAATAGAAAGGGTTTCAACACTAATGCATTTAAACAACCACCAGCAAGGTCCGGAACAATTCAGCAAGAACAATCCCCGTTAAATTCGGGGTTTCAGGTAATAGAATAATAGGTAATAGAATTATACGTATTTCAAAAGCATCAGTTTCAGTGCTTAGTCTTCAAATAGGACTACTGCAATTTGACCTAAACAAGTCTAAAATGCATGAAAAGTACAAAAATCTGACAAAACTACATTTCAATCGTATAGTAGGGTTGGTGGCGTCAAATTAATTTAGTCGATTGACTAATACTTGGATTTTCCATGATGAATACAAATTTATAATGTCATCATTTGCACATAGATAGTCACAGTGCATATCTTACACACATTTGGATGGAAAATGGCCCAGATAAAGCCTTAGTGAATATCTGGGTGAGCAAAAATATTTTAGCACTGAAATGTACCATAGAAGCAACTGTACTACAACATAATAGCATTAATTACAAAAGCAAATCCTGATTCCAATATATGTCTGTATAAAAACACTTCTTTAAACATTTGGCAAACATACGTATGAACAACATTTGTACATAAACTTTTCATTCAATTAGCAAACAATACTGGACATGTCTGGAGCTGAATCTTGCTTTATTAATCTCAACAATCATATGAAACAAACAAGTATTTTCCTAACCATGTGGATTTGTGTCTTCATGTGGGTATTTTAAACAGCAATATGTTGTCATTATTTGCTGGAACGATGGCAAACTTTGAGGTTCATCAGAAATTCCTCCATCAAACAATTTCTCAATGAATTGTTTTCTTCAGTCTCCGTTTTAAAAATAGTTCGTGGGGTCAGTTTTTCACCTTCACTTTTAATAAGTTTGACAATGCATTGATAACGAAGTTCTGATTGAGTGTTGTTTTCTAATAATATAAAAACAAAATAATTTATTTTGAGCCCCACCATGTTACAAAAAAATACAATACACGAGGTAAAGTTGATGAGTGAAAATTCATTGAAGGTACAAAATTCTTCATTGATGTGTACAAAATAGTGTGCAGAAAGCCCATAAAATAAATATGAAAAATTATAAACTGCATTTGCCATTAGGGATTCTTTGAAAGTGATTGGTCTGGTCGTTTAAGAAAAAAGTTTTTTTTCTTCACCTAATGTCCAAAAATTGTTATACATTCACTAAACATTATTTATTCAGAATAGTGCAGGCTAATATGTTTCAATGTAAATCAGAGATCAGAAAAAACTCTCCATCTCACTGGTGATGGTGCAGCAGGGATTAACAAATCAGATACTTCCTAATTCGCTCTAAGGATAAAGTTTCGCTCACACACAGTCACACGACTGAAATCTGCTAACAAACTGCTGAGAATTTTGACAGAGAACTCAATAAACATGGAAAATCTCTCACATTTTTGAAAGTTCACCAAATTTACACAGAGTCTTAACAAAACATCCTATTTGGCAAAGATATGGTGTACAAGCACAGTTAGAGTGTGCGTTAATTAAAAGGGGAACAATATTATACAGCAGTACAACACCATTTTGTTACAAATTTCTAACCATGTGAAAATAGTTATCTCTGGTTATTTTACTCTGATGGATGCTATTATTAGCTAATATTTAAGGAGTTTTAGATTTGAGATTGTGCTTATATTCAGCTAGATAACAGTGGTTCCCAACCTTCTTTATATCGCGACACACTATTGAGCTCTTCAAATATTCGCGGCATACCTATCACAAAACGTGAACATTTTCTACTCATAAAGCCATTTTGCTATAAAATAATAAAAAACAAGTTCAGGTAACAGGAATTTTATCTATACAACATACCCTGTATTTAGTAACATGTATAGAATATTATCGGTGAATGTCAGTGGGATTGTTGTGCCTGGTGCGCCTCGCGTTATATTTTCTTAATATTGTTTAGGTAAAAAAATCCTAGCTCACATAGGTAGGAAGTTACGTGGTCTTCAAACGCACCGCCGATCACACACTTTGGTTTTGCTCGCCGCTCCTCTGACTGACGTTATGACTAAGTGTGAGCAATGTACTGGAACTACAGGAAATACTTATGATTTCAGCTATTTAGCATTATGGTTCAAACAAGTATTCTAAGGAATTTGAATATATTGGTGTCATATAAAGATTTCTGTGAAAATCCAATGTATTCCTCACCTTTCTTTGCGTCATTGATGGCAACGTCACCTAAATTGAGTGTTCTGAGAAATTCAATGACATCTTCGGTATCAAATTTTTTGATTTTTCTCAACATTTTATGACCTGTATAAGAATTTGTAGTTTAAATATCTTATAATAATTATTATTATTAATGATTATTTTATAATAAAAAGATACTACATTATCCATTATTTACTATTGAGTATATTCACAGTTTTGAGTGGTAGATAGGTATGAGATAAATACATGAAGAGCATTTTAGGATATAAAAGCTGTACAGTGCAGAATCCTTCGAGTAGAACTCACCAATAGATGGATTCTTCAAACATCTTTCGACACAACAATTGAGAAACTGAAATGAGAATTTAAGAATTTCAAGCAAACATGCTCAATTTCCGATCATTAATCAAATTGCATGAATGTAATTTAATTCTGATAGTTTGCAAATTTCATCTTATCCTTACCTAAAAAAATTAATAATACTGGCCACTACCCAGAGGTAATTTCTCAGAACGGAAACAATCAAACTTGTAGTTTATTTTTAAATCGAAATACTTAATTGTCTTACGTCTTGTCTTAATTGTCCTTCAGGGCAAATTTTATTTGTTTTAGCCACTGTATCTTATAGACTTATACATACCAATAAATACAGGTGTCAAATATTTATACATTCATAAACATTACTTTTGCTATTCAGCCCAAGTTTATGGTGTTTAAAGTCATGGCATTGTCTCCTATTTTTTGCATGTCTCAAATCTCTCACCAGAACTGTAATTCCCCAGTAGATCTAATATGGAGGGATTAAGATTTTATCATTAATATAATTAAAATCTCTTACCCCCTTTTTCTCAATTCCATCCAGTTGCTCTTCATTAAAAAATTCTTTATTTTGACACGGAACCTAAATAGAAAGTAAAAAATCATGATTACGCACCAGACCGTGATATTTCAGATACTGAATAGAATTTCAACAATCCTGGCTTACAATGTAGAAAAACTAAATTTTGAACATAAAGCTTTGATGTTTACAGTCTCATTTAGTGTCAGCCAATTGATTTGAACACAAACCAGTCAAGATTAGCTACAGCATACATTACATAAAGCTCACCAAACTTCATATAAAATTTAAAGCCAATGATTATCAAAATTTAAACAAGACATCTTTCTACTGAAATTCACACTGCTTGCATTCGCTCAATTGAACTCAGTCCCTTCATTTTTGGAAATGAAGCAAACTAATTGAAATTCAAATCACACTTCTCATGGACAATATCTTGTAAGTACCCTACCACAATATAAAATGACTGTGGAGGTATTTCATTACTGAGCTCAATATTACTTTGAATATATCTACATAGCAGATAAATTACCTAAACTAAATATTTACAAATTACCATCTCGGCAGCAACAGTGGCTTCTAAAACATCACTACTTTCCTGTAAACTTGAACTTATGGGTGTTGCATTATTGTCAGATTTAGGATTTTCACTACGGCTAATTTCATGTAAAGAAATTTTTTCACTGCTATTTGTCTCTTCCTCCATTGTTACAACAAAACTGTCTTCTTCCTGTCGGGTTTGGTGTGGTAAAGAAACAGTAGAACACAATCAAATGGTAATAAGTGAAGTATGAATTGAAATATTCTGGTGTTTTACAATTATAATCAAAAAGAACAACTGAATACAAAATATTTAACAATTCGCATAAGGTAAGTGGAATGCAAGATATACCTAAATATATATATATGGCGATTTCAAGTGCATCTTTCAGATTTGGCTTGTTTCTGTGCAATGTATTAGTCTTACAAACAGGTGTGAAAATTTTTGTTTTGTCCAATAAATGAAGAAGTGTTGCTGTTTTCAAAAAACAAATACAATAGTCTTTGGCAATACCCATTTTACTTTTGAAATATAACTTAAGATAGCACAAGTTCCTAACCTTTCTAAAGATACAACTCAGGTTATATAGCCTAGTCAATTTATAGTATAATGAATATATAAAAACTCACACTTGAATCCTCATTTGTAGCGTCTTTGTTTTCATGGTTTGGAAGTAATTTCCCATTCTGTTTCGGAGTCTCTGGCGGAATTCGACCATTTTCAGGTGAAGTTTCTTAAACAAACCAATAGCAATCAAATCATTTGACAAAAAACACACACAAATTTAGATGCAGACTGTGTAAAAAAATAGAATTAAATCAATGTAACTCTGCTCTTTGACACAGACCTGATTAGGTTGAAAGCCACTAGTATTCAATCCAGGTCTGGACTTTTGCACAATTAAAGTTAGAACTTTACTTCATTTGAATTGGAGTTAAAATGCAATTGCTGTGGAAATTTGCTCACGCAAGCTCACACATACTTCCTCAAAAATAAAGAAAACTGGTCTGTGAACGAATTCACGGACGACTACTGAAGTGCCAGAAACTACTAATAAGAATATAAAAAATTACATAAATAATGATGAATGCCAGGCATGCTATTCAGGTCATTACAATCTGGACAACAGCTAAGAGGTAGTAACTACAATTCAACACACTGCTTGGAAAATACCTTTATCACTTGAGTCAGTAGACTTTTGAGATTTCTTTTTTTTTTGGTAAAAACGATCTGTAAAAGTAAAGACTTTGTAGGCTGGGATGTCTAGAATCAATGTTATGATGGCTGGCTCGGGGCGTGGAGCATCTTGCTAAGCATTAGGAATAATACACTCGCCACAGCACCTTTGTGGATTCGATGTTTCGAATCCTGAGGGGTAAATTTTTGTGCGAGAGGATTGCTGGAATCCTCGTCGCTGTATGATGGTTGAAGTAAGCACTGGTCGGTTACATCTTCCTCCACCATCAATCAATATTCATTTCAGACCGACAATCACTGTTTGTAAGTATCCTACATAAATACCCAACATCAGCAAACACTTCAGTCAACTGTATTTCAGTATTGTCTGATGTCAGGTATTTCCACTGTATTCTCTGCAGTCATCAAATTATTTTTCTCCATGAGGAGGGGTAAAAGTTGGACAAATCATTGAAATTAACAACAGCTCATTATACTATATATGTGAATGTAAAATCTTGTCATAAATTATTGTTGAATTTGTTAGAAAATAATCAAATTACTTACAACAAAGCACAGCGACAACAATGATCCCTATCACAAAGACAATAACACATGATATGATGATTTTGATGGCTTTTCCTTAAAAAGTAAACATGAAAATTATACAGCATGCAAATGCAAGAAACTTTCATACAGCATATATTACAAAAAATTAAAAAGGAAAATACCGGAAAAACAACAAATAACAGGATTATGTACATGCCCTATAACTTACCACAGTAAAAAGGGATTCGCCCCGTATACCGAATGATCAACAACTTTGAATAGATAATTAATATGAAAAAAAGTCACATAGAAACTACAAATATTGAATACAAACAGTTAAAAAACAAACACTTGATAAACGTTTTCTTTTTAAAACATCTTCAATTAGTTCTGGCCACTCTTCTTCAGCTGAGAATTCATGATTTTCTTCCGATGAAAGGTGTTTGATGCCACATTTTGACTGCTAACCCGTTTGCTAATAAAATTCCTCAAATCCGGGAGAATGTCAAAAATGTGTGATATTGCCAGAAAATGATCAAAATAGGGTGATTTTAACTCTATATATAGCCTATACAAAAGTCAGATATTCCACACATAGCCTATGTACTAATACAATTATTTTTTAAAACTTCCATTTTTGAGGAAAGAAGATATATATTTTACTACTATATACACTTACTGTCATCATTCAAAAGGGTGATATCATCCTTCTGTATTGTTCCAGTGACATTATTGTTTGTAAGATTATTTGCCACAAGTTTAAGTTGGCAAACCATATCATGAGTTGTGTTACCGATATTCTTTACATATTCGATCACATCACATCTATTATTAACAGATGAAATTAAATTAAAATCAAGAAATCGAAGAACTCTTCAACTGAAACCAGATAAATGATAAACTCCGCTGCAATAACAATAACATATTTTTTGGGATAATTATTTACCTAATAGGTGAATTTATCCACCCAATTTGCAATGATTGTCAGGATTATATTAGTTACTCCATTCTCATGCCAGATTCAGATTCAATATAAACGAACTTTTAGCACATTACTTGCAGTGATAAAATGCCATTTGAAGGGCTAAAAGCGAACTATTAAATTTAATTTGGGTTCAATAGCAAATAATATATTACCTGGTTAATATTAGGTGTATGGAAAGAGATGAAAAAATCCAGAAACTTTATTTATCAAACTAAAAACATGATAACTTACTTGGACCAAGGAATACACATTTCAGTTGGTGAGGAAATATTTGAAAATGTTCCATTTTGACATACACGGCATTGTGTATCACTCGTCTTTGTTGCAAGGTGAGATGGTTCAAATCCTAAACGGGAAAGAAGTGCAATATTTTGTCAAGCATTGACATTTCAAATACTTAGAATATAACTCAAGAGCTTTATCCCTATTTAGGCAAATCGTTCAATTTTGCGAACTATTACCGGTAACTGAAATGTAGAAATATTAAGTAAGGTAATAATATGGGCTTGTTTGAAATATGAATACACAGCCACGAAACTCAATAATATTGCGGTAATATTTGATGAGTACTTTGTGCTCATTTCAACATCTTACCCTCAATGCATGGACTATTTTCATGACAACCTCCAGAAACATCGTCAGTTCCGCTTGCAGTATGATACCCCGTTTTACAGATGCATCTGGAACAATTTTGTTATTGTGGAATCAGAAATATAATAAAAGGATCATATCTGAATGGCATTATTTTTAATTACATAGCCCTTGATAAAAAATATTGTTATTCGTTTTTCTCATTAATAAGACATAAGTGCAGCTTATTCCAAATTATTCTATCAATTTTTTCACTGACTAATTAATGATGTTAGACAAGTTTTAAAACAGAAATTTTTAAATTCATGATTCAGCGAAGCGAATAATATGTCATGTAATAATTAATAGAAATTGCATGTGCTACAAACTAAATATTTGTTGAATAACCTATATTCTTCCTTGAACATCCCAAGACTTTTTTTTAGTTTTGAGGAGCACTTATTATGATATGATTTGATACCACCATTATATTCTAAAAAAGGCCATAAATAGGCGGCCATTGATATATAAGTAGCAGTTATTTTGAAAGAACCAGAATTCTCCTGGAACAACAATGAGTCAATGACTATCCCATTTTTGGTAAGCAGAAGCTTTCACCCAGTAAACTTTTAATAACTTGCGATACTGCCAAAGCAGTTTTAATTAGCCTACTGTAATTTTAATAATATTCAATCTGTTTTTGCATTATTCACTTTACAGAAATATTTTCAATATTTTAAATTTGGCTTATTAAGAAATATTATATTCCAGAAAACTTTCACAAAATTTGGCAAGGCATAAACTTACCTATCTATTTTGAAGTTACAAATGAAGAAGGTTGTGAATATTCATATTCACTACCAGCTAGTCACTAAAACTGGGCCATACTCTATAATAACAAACGATGTGTTTATAAAATGGTAAAATTTACCGGCTATTCCTAGTTCTATTTCCCATCTCTCGTTGAGTATTCATATACTTTTTGCATACATCTTCATTATCTGATTGAATACACTGCGTATTATTGTTCTCTGTAGGCATGTATGTTTGATTATTCGGATCAAGTGGATCAAACGGACAAAGCTCACAAATTCGACTTTCAGGCTTTCTGAGATGATTCGGTCTAGAAAAAAAATGATCACTATCAATATTTCAAGTATTTGTTTGCAAAGCAAATATTTCTAAGTGCTAATATTATTATTAAAAATAATAAGTAGCCTACAAACAGAAACTTATTGTAATTAAATGGAGTATTTATGTATTCTAATATGTTTATGTATATATAAGCCAGAATCATATACCGGTATATAATTTAGGAATCTAGAAAAGACCAAATCTAATATAACTACAATGAAAAGTTATTTTTGAAAACATCCACCAGTCGGATAATATTATTTTATGTCTTAAATGTAGGATAGAAATATATTACACACACAAAACTCAGAAATCTGCATCTCACAAGCTCAACTAAGAAGAGTGAATACAGATTTTCAAGACAACCATTCATTCATTTTCTGCGCAAGCTATGTTTCTAGGCATAAGCCAATCAATTGAATAATTACAGTTGTCAGTATGGCACAGTCCTCCGATTCCAAGAATAGCCCTTACATAATTAAAAGAGAAAAGTGAGTGCAAACCCCTACTTTACGAGACATTCTGGGCTTCCATATTTGCACTGCGCAATAAACTAAAACTGCCACCATTTCGGTGGCTCAATGTTAGATGTGACACCCTGCGATTGATTCAAGATATTATTGAGACAAGCATGGCGCAATCTGTCGCATCTAACATTGAGTCAGGCGCACTTCGTCCCAGAGCCAAATAGAGTGTAAAACAAACATTTGTTTTATTGAAACAAATGTCGGGACATCTTGGAATCGGACAACTGTGACCTACTGGTTGCAATAAAGTGGATTAAAGAAACAGCAAAAAGAGAGTTATAATTCAATAATTAATAAGGCGATTTTTATACCAAAATGCAAAAATCAACAAAATTGTAACAGAGGCATCACTGATCCTAAACGACCGGACCATCTAATTTTATTATTTTGTTGCATTTTTCAAATTGAGCATTATCAATGATTTCACATTCTTGAAAGTAAAAAATTTATTGTACATACTGACAGATCTTGGATAAATACGATCCAGCTACACAATTGCAACAAAATTCTCCAGTTGGACTTTCAAACAATCCAAGACGTCCTTCAAAATGTAGACATATGTCCCTTGCTTGACTAATGATAACTTGCCTTCGATTAGCTCCAAAAACATAATTCTGAAATGAATATGATGCATGCTAGTGTAAGAATATAAACATTAAAACTTCTCTCAAATTTGAGTTTTCAATGAAGAGCACGTCATGAGCAAATTTTATGATCAGATAAGCAAGGTCACAAGCACCTAAACATTGGAATAGAATACTCAAGATTTCCTGAGTCTGAATTTCAAACCAAAATGTTTTTTTTTTTTTGAAAAAAAATATGAAGGGAAGGGAACAACTCAATAAGCACATTTCAGCATTTGCTGAATACAGTTAAGAAGAGTTTTTACAACAGAATAGAATAAAAATGGTCCTATTCTTGGCTGTATGTCGAAATGATATTTTCGACTTGAGCAAGATTTCAATAGAATTGTTATCACAAAACGCAGCTTGAGAGCAAAGAAAACATTAATAGATGCTGAACATAAAAAAAAACTAAATTGATTTGTTTGTAAATTGATTTTGTTATACAACCTAAAAACAGTTTAAGTTTAAAAGTTATTGTTTTTTGTTTTATATATTTCTTTGTTGGGTGCCAAGGGTGGTACCTGTACGTATGTCCAGGTTTGAGTAAAAAATTATAATGAATGCTAAGTCTGTAAGTGACCGGATTTACCATACTTTAAAATTCAGGCTACAATGAATATATTTAATTTGGCCACTCTGATAGAAACAAAAAACAACAACAAATGGGCAAACAAAATACAGAGGACCTGGAGGACGGGCATAACTTAATAGAAAACTTAACTGCCCGTCCACCAAAAACAGTCAAAACAAATAAAACAAAAACATGATATAAAATCGGGCAATACTTTTAAATTAAATTTAAAATGTGAGACGTGTATGTGTAAAACAACAGGCTTTTTTTTTAGCTTTTCAGACCAAAATGCTGTGGTCAACTTCAAATACATTATATATTAATTAATAGACTACTTCAATATTAAAACTTACCGATACAGACAAAATCAGGAGCAGGTTCACAATGAGATATTGAGTGTCAAATATAACCATCATACAGATATTCCGTACGCTGCGAACCATATTTTATGTAAAACAAACTTAGTACTGTCAGACTGTAGTACGGTATACTTCTGTACTTATTCTGATCTTACTGGTACTGTACGGTACCATGCGATCAGTAGGCCTACTTCTGTGAAGCAAGATTCTGTAATAAAGAAATAAAAATCTGATGAACGATTACTATAAGACTTCCATTCTACTGTAAAAAATATTTAAAAACTGAAACAAGATAAATAGAGGTTTGAGGTTTGTAAACGAAGATGCGAAGTTTGTAGAAAACATTCCATTTCCATGATTCTGCAATTAAACTACTCCTATTTATCTATCTGTTAAATATAAACTACCGTACCTTATACTGCTCTAGCTATCTTTTTTTTTTTTTTTTTAAAGGTCCGCGTTGTGGATTCATAACAGTTTTGTTAAAATAAATAAATGATGAAAAAATAATAATCATAGAACATGGTTACATATAATAAACAAATATAAACATCATTCAGTATTATCCAGCCATTCATATTATTCCATTGTTGATTCCAGATAAAGCTATAGCTATCTATTTTTTTTATTTTAAGGTCCACGTTGTGGATTCATAACAGTTTTGTAAAAATAAATAAATGATGAAAAAATAATAATCATAGAACATAGTCACATATAATAAACGAATATATTCGTAAACATCATTCAGTATTATCCAGCAATTCATATTATTCCATTGTTGATTCCAGATAAAGTTTCCCATGTTTATCAGTAAATATACATTAATTTATATGTTTTTAATTTATAGCAGAAAAATAAAAAATTATACAATTAGTCATAGATTCTTTACAAATTATGTCTAGTTCTTTTATAAAACTAGGACTATGTCTAAGTTGTTCTATATTTCTCCTCGCTAAAAGGGATTTTCTAATTCTTGTTATGACACTATTTACACTTGGATTAACATTTTCAAAAATAACTGCATTACGTTCTAACCATATTTTATATCTTGCAGTACACAGAAGAAGTATGACTGCATTACGTTCAACTAATGATAAATGTGAAAAACACTGATTATTTAGTTCTAGTAAAATACATGTTTTATAAATATTTTTTAACTCGCAATTGTTTATTTTTAATACAACAGAAAAAACATAATCATATACATTTTGTGTAAATGCACAGTTCCAAAATAAATGGGATATAAATTCTGGTTCTTGAGAACAAAGTACACATAAATCATTTCCAGTAATATGTCTAATCCTTGGTTTAACTTTTAGTGAAAGAATGTGTCCCACATAAGTTTGTAATTGAAAGTTTTCATATTATTAGCCAATATTTTACAATGTATGTTTGAACAAGCTCCTTCCAAACTACCATCTCTAAGAAACGCTATTCTGTCAACCCTCTTCAAATTATCAACAATTTTAGGGTCTCGTGTAGTTTCTTACCTAACATACTTCTAGTGGGCGTAGCATCACCATTTTTTGACATGTCAATGCTAACCCCCCCACCAGACTATGCCATCCAAAAATTACATCAGTACGACATCACAATCGCGTCATAGAGCTTGTTAAATATACTTACTATCGCCCGAAATGGCATTGGCGCCGACGATAAAGAACTTACTAACGTCAGCAATATCTCTCATATTGGAATCGTCGCGACGTAAAAACGAGAGAAATAGCCGTTCGATTTCGGGTGCGCAGACGTGCGCGTCTTGGATGACAGTGCGTATAGTTTGAAAGTCTCTATTACGTCACTGTGACGTCGTAGGGACGTAATATTTGGATGGCACAGTCAGGTGGGGGTTAGGATTGACACATGAAAAAATTGTTGTGCTACGCCCGCTAGAAGTATGTTAGGTAGGAAACTACATGAGACCCCAATTTTATTATAAAATTATTCGATGTTTCCCTTGTTCTAAATCGGTTCCAGCAATATTATATTGCCGAAGGAAAGTAATAATGGCTCCATAATATCTATTGGGGAAAAAGGTATGTGATACACTATTATTTACAGGTATTTTAAAAATAACACTCAGTTGTTGACCAAAGTTACCCTAGCAGACATCTCTCAGCGGACATCTCTCTCATTTTCGGAACGGTAAAATAGCGTTGCCAGAAAACGATTTAACATGGCACTTAAATGCCGCGACGGAAAAAAAGGAAAGCTAGTCGCAAAGTACTTGCCAGATTTACGGCGAAATTTTGCTACACTCGGAATTACACAAAACTTATCTGTAATTTCCGATGGCCGGGCAGATTTTTAAAGTTGATATAAAAAAAGAACTTATATTGAAGTCATCCTAATTCAAGTTTTATGAAATTTATATGTTGGGAACATATATTATTACATTGTCAAACATGGCCAAAAAGAAATTTCAGATTAAAATTAATAAATGTCGGCATTTTAACCCCAAATTATGTAGTTTTCGATTAGGTGCCCCACTTTTAGATAAGACATCTCAAAAAAACATATTGTGAAGTCATTCGGAACCAAGTTTCAGAAAAATTGTATGTCGGGAACATACAATAATATCTTGTTAAACATGGCCCAAACAGGAATTTTACATCAAAATTAATAATATATCATTTTCAACCAAAATTTTACTTTTCGATTACGTGCCCCACTTTGAATAAATATTTCAGAAGAACATATTGTGAAGTAACCTCGAAAAAGTTTGAGAAAAATTGTATGTCGGGAACATATAATTATCTTGTAAACATGGCCCAAGAGAATTTTACATCAAAATTAATAAATATCCATTTTAACCCCAAATATTTGTACTTTTCGATTACGTGCCCCACTTTTGATAAGATATTTCAGAAAACATATTGTGAAGTAACCTCGAACCAATTAGAAAAATTGTATGTCGGGAACATATAATTATCTTGTAAACATGGCCCAAACAGGAATTTTACATCAAAATTAATAAATATCAGTATTTCAACCCCAAATTTTGTACTTTTCGATTACGTGCCCCACTTTTAATAAAATATCCTAGAAGAACATATTGTGAAGTAACCTCGAACCAAGTTTGAGAAAAATTGTATGTCGGGAACATATAATAATATCTTGTTAAACATGGCCCAAACAGGAATTTTACATCAAAAGTATGAATATCAGCATTTTCAACCCAAAATTTTGGACTTTTCGATTACGTGCCCCACTTTTGAAAAATATCCAAAAGAACATATTGTGAAGTAACCTCGAACCAAGTTTGAGAAAAATTGTATGTCGGAAACATATAATAATATCTTGTTAAACATGGCCCAAACAGGAATTTTACATCAAATGTAATAAATATCAGTATTTCAACCCCAAATTTTGGACTTTTCGATTACGTGCACCACTTTTGAAGAAGATATCACAAAAGAACATATTGTGAAGTAACCTCGAACCAAGTTTGAGAAAAATTGTATGTCGGGAACATATAATAATATCTTGTTAAATATGGCCCAAACAGGAATTTTACATCAAAATTAATAAATATCAGTATTTCAACCCCAAATTTTGTACTTTTCGATTACGTGAAGAAGACAGCGAATCAACTTTGTAAGACTGTGGTCTATACCAACGATGTACATCCAAAGTCTTTACTTCACTCTACTTCATTTTCGAAACAACGTCACCGTGGACAGAAGGTCTCTTCGGCCTCATCTCTCACTCCTTCTGTTGTTTCTCGTGGTGCTCCTGGTCCTGCTTCTAATATTACTTTGCTGCACGGGAATGGGCGTCCCAAACATACTAGCAGGTCTTTCTTTTCTACTCCACCCTCTTTTAGTAACTCTGAGCATTTTGATAAGAAGAGTCCCATTCCACGGAAGAAGTTACCGAGATCTTCTTCTGTGAAAAATGTTTATCCCTATTTAATTTATAAACAGTCGGGCGGTGTGTTTTCCGAAAACAAATTGTCAAATCAGTCGTTGGTATGTGCAATGAATGATATGGGATCATTTAATCCAAATTCCCATGCAGACTGGGTCAAATTAGCAAACGTTATTTGGAACACAAAACTTGCCAAAGGTGAATTGAAAAATTATATTCCAAAATTGCGACACTTTTGGAACAAGAACTCAAAAAACCTAAAAGGCAATGAAACATCAATTCCTGACACATCGGGCGATGAAGGATTTAAAAATACCAAACGGGATGAACCTTCTTCTGACTTTTCTCCTGAAACTAAAATTATAAATTCGACTGCCAAAATTTGTCATGAAAAAACACACCGCCTACGCCGTCCAAGACCTTAGAAGAAAGCTGCGAAAACATATTCGATCAGGTTAGTAAAAATTCAGAGATATTTTTAGATGCGCATGGGAGTGATTTTCATGTATAGGTGCTCAAAGTTCAGTGCAAGCACATGGTATATGGAAACGTGAAAATCCAACAAAAAATGCCACATTTAAAATGAACACCAAAAATTGGAACAGTCTTTTTAATTCCGTTGCTGGGCGAAAAAAAAATCCCAATTGGGCTGATGTTTTCAGAAAATTTATTAAAGAAAGTGACCCTTACTGTTCATATGCATTTCGGTGGGCCCAGTAAGTTCTGGAAATTGGCAATCGTATTTTTTGCTTGCAGTGGGCATTGTTGCTTACAGGTTGCAGTCGTAAATTTCTGTAGTATCCTATCGAAAGACCCCCGCATGTTTCATATTTCATACACAAGAAGATCGCCATATTGGTTAAAATCATGAGACTTAAAGGTAAACGTAAGAAAGTGTTTCAGGAAAAAATTGTTCATGTTCTCCTCGTAAGATTATTTAAAAAAGATAGGTGCTCTCTCGTCTGAAGTCTTCATTCTGGGTAACAGGACGATGCCCCATCCAAGCGTTTTAAAAAAGGCACGTCATGAATCTAGGGTTATCCGTGTCCCGACCCGGCAACCATGGATCGCTATATTCACTGAGAAAGTTGCAGTACGAAAGGTCCAAAAATCAAGTAATTCGTGGAACCTTGCAGCAAATTTCAAGGGTTCCTCCGGGGATTATGTTTTGGTCAGAGGCTTCGGTAAAAAAATTCATTCAAAATTCCTCTATTGACATTAAGGATGCCAAGTATGAGTACTTACAAGTATTCGATTCTTATCCGATTCCTAAATTTTCGATTCCGATTCTCGATTCCGAATCTCGATTCCTCGACATATTATCAAAAAAATATACCCACCCAAGCAATACCATGTGA